AGTCTGTTTCATTTTATTCATAGGTCATCCCTGAATGAAGAATTAAACTTCAATTTAGGAAGTTTTGTTTATTCTGTTAAAGAAGAAGACAAATTCCTTGAATTTTAAATGACCAAATTAAAAGGTAAAGCTAATGACCACTTGAGGAGCAGATCTGTGATTAACATAATTTGATGTAAATGGTTAACAATTTACTTTTGATGATAATGTCTCATTTTTCTACTCAAACTTCTTTGACCATGTTTTTCTGGATAACTTTGACTTTTGATTTCTTATTTGTGACTATGAAACTGCTTTAAGACACATAGTGAAAAGTTAGTTTTGAATTTTCATTTTAGAAATGTTGGGAAATATTTTGTATGATTTTTACATTGAAGTTATTCTCTATGACCCTTATAGAAAATTTCTTTTGGGTCACTGAATTGAAAAAAAAATTATTTAATTACAGTTAAATCACTATTCCATTTTATGAAGATGGAGTATTTGTGTTTTTATTTCAAACTGTTGAGGAAGTAGGAAGTCTTGCCAGTCTTTAGTGAAATTGTGGGATTTGAAATGAGGAACAATAGGACATGAGGTTCATTCGGTTTTGTTATTTTAGAGCTTCATTTTTCTCTTCAAATCTATCCTGTTTTTCTTATTTGGGATTTTGTTAGGTGAATTTAAAATTTTAATGGTGTTTTATAATACATAATGTCCTCTGTCTCTTTTACAGATTTTTGTATTTAAATTAATTTTGTGTGATAATAATAACCTCTCTCTTGCTTACTGTTTTAATGGCATATTTTTTTTTGGTTTTTTTTTTTTACCTGTAGGTTTTTTTGTTTGTTTCTATTTTTGTTTGTTTTTGGTTTTTACATCTAAAGTTCTTGTAGATAGCATTAGCTTTTATTTTCCTACATTCATTGTTATTCTTTGTTTTTTTATTATTTATTGGTTTGTTTATTTATTTATTCTTTGGTACTCAGATCAAACTCAGGACCCTGAGCTTGTGATGCAGGCAAAAATACCAGTGAGCTAAATCTAAATCCTCAGCCTATTTGCTTTTTAGTAAGAGGTTACTGAAATAAACATGTAAAGTAATTATTAGTTAAGGATTTACTGTTGTTGTTGTTGTTGTTCCTTCTTTTCTCCAGGTCCTTTTGTACTTGACTATGCATATGATGTGGCATTTTATTTTTTATTTTCTTAATTGTTCCCAGGTGATTTATTATAATTATTTTATTTTCTTAATTATTCCCAGGTGATTATAATTGATATTTTAATTTTATAATTAACTATATTGAATTAACTTATGGAGTTTATAATAAAGTAGTCTGAATGCCCAGTACACATTATAAGAACTCCCATGTAATTCAGTGTTTTCCTTATTTTTGTTACAAAATACATCATTATACATTGTGTGCCAATAATGGATTTATATGTTTTATACTTGTCTTTTAAATCATATAGCTATAAAGTCAATAACCAAAAATTCAGTAATATGAACTTTAATGTTTTCTATATAGCTACCTTAATTAAACACTGCTCCTTCTTTATGACTTTAAACTGTTGCCTACTGTGTTTTTTCTGATGGAAATATTCCCTTTCATATTTTTTATAGGACAACTACCATATATATAAATAATGAAAACAAATAATTGGTACTGAGACCCAAAAATTACACTTACAAATTAATTTTTCAGAAAACAAATATTACAATGATTTCTTTATCTCTTCCATGGTTCTCACAGTTACTCTCAGTTTTATTGCTGATATGATTTTCTTTAGATCCATAGATATGATATTTTATGTAAATAAAGCACATATAAAAAGCACAATGGCAAATGTGTTTACTGTACCAACACAAGATGTTGACTGGGCAAGAGAAGGATTTAAAATGAAATATAATGCCTCCTTTATATGTCAGCATAGACTGGAGTACATGACTAACTCGTGGCCTATACAGGTTTTTTTTAAATCAGATTTTTGTTTTGACTATCCAGCAAAGTTAGGAACACTGTGCAGATTAGTAGTGGAAAGTTTGGGCCTGGAGTCAGTCCAGAGCAGGAATAGCACATGGGAATGTCTCTCATGTCTCAAGTTTATCCCACCTAAAGTTCATTGAGATTCTTAGATTTGTACATTAATAGTTTTATCAGTTGTAAAACTTTATCTGTGACTATCTTTTCTACTATTTTTGCCTTACTTTGTGGCAAAAATCTATTCATGTGCTTGTGTATGATGGTGTCCTACAGGATTCTTAAGTGCAGTTGATTTATTTTTCTTCTTTCTGTTCATCAGACTTCAAAACATCAGTTGCTTTTTCTTTTACAAGTGCTAATTCTATTTGCTCGGTTCTGCTGTTGAATTTTTTTCATTTCAGTTTTATATTTTTTAGCTCTAGAATTTCTGATTTAAAAAGTTATTAGTGCTGTTATTTTGCTCATATATTGTTTTCCTGATTTCCTTTTGCAGTTTGTTTTTTTGCTTTTTGAACATATTTAAGATGTTTTTAAATATATGTATGTAGAAATTCGAATATCAGAGTTTTTTTCTGAAATTTTTCTTGTTGTAAATTGTGCATGCTTTTGTGTTTCTCTGGGTGATTGCAATTTTTTGTTAGAAGCTGAGTGCTTCTATATATTATCTATATTATCTATATATATATATATAATATGTATATTATGATACAGCCTCTGTCAGATAAAACAAATCTGGATATAGACATGGAGAGACTTTCATTAACAATAGTGAAGTGGGAGAACACTGACTTCCCAATTCTGTAAGCCTATTAAAATCCTTTTTTTAAAAAAGGAGCATAAGTAGGAATTGTAGAAATGTTTTAAACAGATCCTGACAACAGGATTTGTATAGTTTGTTGGGAATGTGTTTTACTACAGTCAGCCATTTAGATAGAGCTGTTAATAAAGGTATATTTGCTACTTTATTGTTAATATTTTGTAAGACAAAATTTAAGACTCTGAACAGAAGAGACAAGTTTGACTAAGGTTAGGACAAAGCACAGGCTAAGTAGCAGCAATGTTGGACATTTCTATAATGAAATAAGATTCTCTCTTTTATTTGGACATGTGTCTAAACTATTTTTAAATAAAGATTGTATTCTTTATTGTGTATGTATTTTAGAAGTGGAATGATTAGTTTGTTGTGGAAATCTGAAACAAAAACAACAAAGCCTTTTTTTTTAAATGAAAACTTTGTTTTTGTGGATTATACCATTTTTATGCTGTGGGGTTTGTTTTCTTATTGTGCATATGCTACTAAACAGCTAGAGATGGAAACCTAAGATTTTCCTAAATCTCCTCTGACCCTGCATCCTGCTCTAGACATGCTTTTGTATATTTTTTGGTATATACAAGGCCTTTCCTGAGCTAGAATTATTTTGTGTAGCCTCTTGTCATTCTGTCCTTGTGGTCCTTGCTGTCTTCATCCCACTGCCCCTTTTGTTTATTTCTTTTCAATAGTGCATGCTTGCAGTACATAATGGTTACATTTATCATAGAGATTCGGTGGGTATACTTGACACATTCAGATTCGTTTTTTCTCCTGTTCTCCTATCCCTTCCTGCTCTCTCCAACTCTTGGGCCCTTTCTCATTTGCAAAAGGTCTATTTTTAGTTTTTTGTTTTAAATCTCTTCCCATCATCATCATTTGTTCCCCTTCCCATTTGAAAAAGATCTACTTCTTATTATCTATCTCTTACTTTGCTCTTTATTTATATTTTGAGTTTCTGATATAAGAAAACTATATGATAGTTAAACTTGTGTGTCTGATTTATTTGACTTTAACATTATGTATTAGGGTTTATCCATTCATTTTGTTTCTTCCTCTTCTATAATTCCTTGACCCTACACATTGTGACTTTTACTTTTATGAGCATGAACAAAAGCTGTTAAAATTCCGAGGAAGTTCAGAGTTTGGATAAGTCTACCCCACAACAGCTTTTTAAAATGGAGTAAGGTCTTATGAAGCCTGGGAGTTGTTCTGTGTAATCCCAACTACTAAATATGCTGAGGCCAGAAGACAGTGAGGTAAGGCCACCCTGGGCAAGATAGCAATACTCTTTCAAACAAGTAATAGTAGCAAAGAGTAAGGTGTGTATTACTCACTTTGATACCAGCACCTACACCAGGAATGCCAGATATACAGCTTCCTAGTAGTCATCTCCAAATTGAGGATTAGGAAATGGAGAGTAGGAAATTACAGTAAATCTCTCCTCGTGACTGTTGTGTTATAGGTTGTGGGGAATGGTAGTGAGAAGTTTAAAATCTTTATAGTACACTCAACTGAAAAAAAAATTCACTATCCTTTACAACTAACCTCCTATAAGGAGATCTTAGAAATCTGGAGAAGTTCATATGTTACTGACACTGTCAGCTCATTTCCTATTTTATGGAGGGACAGATCCTTTTGTAGCTTTTTATATTGTAATTTATCAATTCATACTAATTTAAATATTTTAAATTAATTTTTCATTTGTTAACTCGTAATTATACATATTTATATAGTGAAATAATAGAATTTGATTTATGTATGGTTTTTATGTGGTAAGTCATTCAAAATCATGTGTAGTTTGTGAAATACACATTTCTAAGCACAGTATAACTATACAAACCCACATACAGTTAATTTTAATATTTTTGCTCTTTTTAATAAGGTCACAGCTCTGTGAAACAAAAACTGCTATATTTGTTTAGCATTGCAAGCCCCTTTACAAACCATTATGAAAAGAAGAAAAAAATGCCATAGAACTGTAACATGCCTAACAATCTTAAGATGTATAAACACTGCAAAAATAAATTTAAAACTAGGAACTTAAAAGGGGTGGAAAACTATTTTTTTCTGGACTTTCTTCTTGACTATGTATGATTTATTGACTTCTACCTTTTCCTTCTAGTTTGTGATTGACACAATGGAGAATGCTGGGCTAATGGCGAAAGCAGACATGTTGGGTAACTCTCAATCAAATGATATTCTTCAACATCAAGACTTCTGTTGTTGTGGAACAACTAATAACCTGTCATTAGAAGATGATGGCAGTAACTGTATAGCAAAGAAAAGGAATGTGGTGAGCCCAGATTACTGTGTTCAGGAGTTAAGTGAGGATAATCCCCAGCAATCTGGGCTCACCACATTCCTTTATCTTTATAGTCAGAAAGAACTAGAATGCAACAGAATCAAAGGAAAAACCTTAGGTAATAATCACTGCTCCCTGCTTGGATATTTTCACATCTGCTCATTGAATTTGTATGTTCTGTAGCATAAGTGATTATGAATATGGCCAGTTTGAAATGTTACTAACATTTTGTTTCTCTTCTGTGAGAGGTCATTCTACTTATTTACTACATGTGTATGTAGCACACAAAAATAATAGAATAGGAAACTTAGAGGAACTAGATTTTTTTTTTCCTGGCAGCAGGGTTCAAACTCAGGTCCTTGCACCTGTGAGGAAGGCAATGGAACCACTAAGTTAAAATACCGGCCCCAGACTAGATTTTTGTAAGTGGTTTGAAGCCACTTTGAGAGGAAGTATATACTTGATTTGTCCTGACTTTTGCACTTTTAGATGACGTGACCAACAACTAAGGAGAAATATTTATTTAAAGATTATGCAATATGTGACTTTAAGTTTAGACTTCTTAAGACTAGTTTTCAGCATATTTTATACTTTTGCTTTTATTATTTTGACAGGTAGGTCCAAATTGATGTTAAATTTCGTGAATGAAATCTGAAATCCTTCCTTATTTTGCCATGCTAGTTCCATAGACTCAGTTATTTTTATTCTTCTTAGACAAACATTTGCATTATTGATCAGTGATTTCCTAAATGTGCCTTTGTATTTTCAATTTTAGTTAATGTCATTTCTTACACATTCAATAATAGTATTTCATCTTCTTTTATTTGACCTTAGACTTAAATAAGAAAAGATTTGATTGTTAATATTTTATGTACCTAGGAAAGTGTTTTTGAAGTCAGCATTGCTCCCTCATTCTCATATTACTTTGTATTTTATAAAACGGTTTTGTTTTATAAACTAAGGTGATCGTACTGCTAGGGTAACAGATATAACATTATGCTGTATTTTGAAGTACCATCTGCCTCTTTCTGTCTTATCCAGTTGATTTTCCTGTCAGTTATTAAAATACACTTAAAACTTCTTTCCCAAAGAATTACTTTTAACTTTAAAAACAGTTTATTTAGATTGGTCATAGGAAACAGAAAAGATCATGTGTATGTTACTGGTTTCGTTTTGTTTGTAGTGCATGTGTATATGTGATGCTGAGAATTGTACTCAGAGTCTAAGGATGCTTTGCAAGCTCTACCACTAAGTTATATCCACAGCTGTATGTGTGCATCTAAGACTACTGCTGACCTTCTATTTTCACTTCATTCTATATTTGTAATGGGTTGGAAGGAAGCTTTAAAAATAGGGGATAATTAAATAAAAATTTACTATATTTTATCATCTACTATCGTTTATATAAATGAACAAAAGTAATAGTGCATCTAATCAGTCCATTTTTACCCTTTGTAAGATACCTTGATTTGGAATATTAATGTGTTTAACAATCCTTCGGGCAAGATGAGTTTCTAAATTTTCAGGATACCTTCTTTCCTTCATTATTTGCTAAGTTTAGCTAGCTGTGTTAGTTCTAAATAGACTTGGAAGACAAGGTGAAATCAAAATGGAAAACTAGTTTCCCTGATTTACTAGATAAATGTGTCCTTTTTTTTTTTTTTTTTTTTTTTT